ACGAGCAGACGGATCACCTGATGGTAAGCAATCGGCGTCGCCCATGGACACCTGGAACACCAGAGGCGTTACAAGTGCGTTATCGGCCTTTTGGGCATTAGGCGTTTGAAGATCGTTGGGGATTCAGGAATTTTACTTAAAACAAGCTTACACGGCCACCTTCGTACCGCCTTAAACATTTTTTCTCAACTTTGAACCGCCTCTGGACTTCCACGAATAATTCAAGACCAAAATTAGCCATATTAACGCACAGCAATCAATTTATTTTAATGAAATTCAATACAACGATAGTTTGAAATCCGGGAAAGGACACCTGGGTGATTTCAACCCAATAATCCCACGAGATTAGATGGAACGGATTTTACTTAAAATTTAGTTACTGTTTCTCGATAGGTAATTAGATAGCTGTTTAATATTAAATGTTTAAGATCTAACTCGTTTTTAAGAATTGATACATTCTTCCTGTCTTTCTTTAACATAGATTATAAATGGCATTGTGTAAATATTGTAATAGAAATAATTGTTACAAAAAATCAGCCAATCAGTGCAGACCCGACTACGACCACGAAAAATCAAAATTCTTTATTAAGGGTCACAAGTTTGTATAATATAATACAGATCTTAAATGTTTAAATTATTTTCAACCTTATCGTTTTGTAATAAAGTCTACAACAAAGTTTCTTGTTCCAGTGCTGAACGCCAGTTTGTGCCTCGTCATTAATGCAGAAACTTATCTTAAGAAGCTAAGACAGAAGACCGGAGGTCAACGTCCTTTTTCCATTGAGAGGACTACTTCTCACAATAGCACAGGTATGATTTTGTTCATTTCCTTATAAATTAAATTGTGGGATAGCCATGCTTCAGCACGAATGCGCCGGCTCGACCGGAGTGATACCACGTCCTCACAGAAAACTGACGTGAGCAACGCGTGCATTGTGTTTCGTCATGTGAGTGAGGTTACCGGAGGCCTAATCTCCCCAATCCATGAATCACCAAATATCCTCAAATTCCTAATGCCCAAAAACGGTACGCACGCAGTTTCGCATTTGTAATTCCACTTGATCTATCTTGTGGCTTCAATATTTCTGTCTGTGGTCGATGATTTAAACAAAACCAATTCATAAACTTCCGTAGCTGTCTACCATACACTGTGGGGCAAGCATAAAGCTATCAGAGATGCCTCGAACCGGACAGTTTCCATTATGTGGCTAAATATCCTATCTCACAGTTTGTACAATACAGAAAATGTTACAAAGTACAACATTGATCGCCATTTTATTTCACCAAACAATGTTTTTCATTTGCTTTCAATTCTTTAGTATAATTAATTTAAATTTGACTCGCCTAACAGTAGGGACATTTGTAACTCAATTAAACAAGGCATTTTTGTTAATATAAAGTACAGTACCTATGTACTAAATCCTAAGTATGTTACCCTAAAATATATCTAGACCAGACTCACTCACTTTTCACAAGCCAGATATTCTCTAGTCTCAATAAATGTAGTGCTAAATAAATGGAGGCCAAAGAAGATGTAACTGTTACTAAACATAATAACTTGTCCTTCGGTGTTTAAATGTCCTATGTCCTAGTCTTATGGACAGTAGGTATAAAGCAGTGGTCATACATCAGGGTGTATCTGATGTTGTTGATCTGTGGACTGTTGGGAGACCGGATACTTGTCATGTTACTAAAATGTAGAATTTGGACTCGGCTTCGAAACGCTCGCTATTATAAAATGAAAGCATTGTAATTAGCTTTTTTAAGTATGGTCTAAGTGACGATGTGATACTACTGTCTATGCACAGCCAATATTTCTTATTGTACATAAATAATAATTATAATGAATCTAGTACTGATACTATACCTATTCCTGAGAATATCAACCAATTAATCTGGAAAAATATCAGTTCGTTCTCGTTCAGGACTTATAGCAGTACGGTCACATTCGAATAAAAACCGGTTCCAAAAATTAAACACTTTAACGGAAAACAAGAACGCTCTCCGCGTTGAAAATATTCCCCTTTGTGCAATGAATTGTAGCGTTATCAGTTGTTTGCCATGAGTCGACATCGGCCACTCGATGTATAGGTCTATAGGTACTCATTATAAGCATACGAACGCGTAGCATTCGCTAATGTACTCGAATATCGGTTGGAGGTAAATATTTAATCACCCTGTATACGTGTTCCTCGCGCCGTTTATTCATTGCAGACTATGTTTGTTTACGCGAAGTGAATTGGTTGTTTTCGTCAGAGAAAACAAAAACAGAATGGTCGGAAATTAGGCTGCTGACTATGTGTGTGTTATGGCTGATTTAGGTGAATGTTTGTATGATAGGCATAGAGCCATGGTATACTTAACCTATCTAATTTGTTCACAACAAACAAGATAAAAGAGAGAGAAGACCTCACTTGTTCAAAGTTAATATCAAAATCTTTTATTTCAATTTGATCAGGGCCTTTCTGGTCAAATTGAAATTGACCGTCAAAACAAAATATTAATAAAGGTCCGTCTGTCGGTCAGTCCTCTAGTCAAAGTATTTGAGCACTGTCAATGTCGTGGTATTGGTGGAGATTTTTAAGTTTGCTACCGTGCCAGTAATAAGGTTTTTAAGTAGTCCAATAGTCATTGTGATATATATATATTTATATACGCACCCACGGCACAGGAGAAAATCCTAGAGTGGGGCAATGTCTATGTCTTCTTTAAATCTTAAGTGAACCTTACAGTCAAAGGTAGGGAAACATCAAAGAATAATTTATAATATGTAGGTAGGAAAACAGGTAGGTACATACAACAGTAACATTTATTGTAGGTATCTGATCAAATAAAGTTGGAACGCTAATTAACGTGACGTTAAAAAGCGAAAAGTTTCGGGGAATGAGCGTTCCTACCTAATTAATAATTACTTAGTGATGGGTCTGACGTAACCTATTGTTTAAAAACTCATAAAATAAAATAGAAAAATAAATACCTAGTTAGTATTCGTAAATAGTTACCTATTTACTGAAAAAAGATTTCATTTTCGATAAACCCTATTGCTACCATTTATCTGGGTAGGTACTTTACTCCCCAAGCGTACGGCGCGTCGCTTTCCGCGCACGTATTTAAACTGTCAAACACCAAGCGGTCACCGGTGACCGCAACCTATTGTTCTATAATTGTGTCTATAATGACGGTACTCGACGAGTTAAGAGCCACTAGACCACCACAAATGGGCCCAACAGAGCTAATGCACGATCCGGAGCTGCGAACAACCTTACGGGTTACCGGAATTTCGGTTCAAAGCAGGAGTAGGAACGGGATAATTTTTAGTCATTAAGAATCTGACACTCCCCCACCCAAGGCGGAAACGACATTCGATGATTTTACCTCCTTAAAAAATATGGTAATTTACCGAATTACACGCTACGGTTTTTTTAATGGGTCATCATCATCAAAATCATCGAATTACTTTTCCCCGCCTGGGCGAGGCGGAAGGGAGTGCCAGACTCTTACTGACTAAAAACCACCCCGTTCCTAGTCCTGCACTTCGAGCTGGAGCCCCGGCAACCCGTTAGGTTCTCCGCGGCTACCCGTTACGCTACATATATACATAATACACCCACATTCAACAACAGACACGTGTACATATTCCTACCTACTAAGTACCTACCTACAACAAAATCGCCTAATGCAACACGACGACCCAGTTCAGTAGTAATTAAACAAAGCATTAAGGAAATTACCAGCACTTTCAGTTCGCGCCGCTCTTCACGATAATTACAGCAGTTTTTAAGCGATTCCGTGGTTTTCTATCATTTATACTATGTTTAGCATGGTTCTCCCTTACCTCCTGTCCCTATTAGGTACCTACCTTATTATTAGGTACATACCTTTGATTTTTTTTATTGAGTTAATACCTTCTTTTTGTTAAATGTAATCAGCAACTATTTGAGAGTTTATCGGAAGGCAGACACCGTTATGTAACTTTGCGATCTCAATACCAACACTGATACGCACAGGTAGCCATAAGACTGTTCTACTGACGAAAAGTGTTTTTGGTGCTGGCTATATCAACCACATTCCTAATTCTATAAAAGGCCTAGAAAAACTAGTTTGAGGTTCCCAAACGGAAATAAAAAGTACAGAGATTTTTTTTTTAATTCCATAAAGATCAATATTACGTTTACCGGCTCGGGTATCGCACCCGAGACCCCATAGTAGCAATCGCTCTTACGGCTACTCACCCAACGAGATAGTCAGGATACAACATTTGTAACGCAGGTCGATGTAGTATTATTATAAAACATAGATCCTTTTCAATCTAGCTCAGCTTGCAGCCCAGGTGAAATTACTTCCGTTCTTGGTATCTCCCTTGATGTTACAAAAAATCGTTTGTTCTTTTTTTCTTTCTCTGAAGATTTTAAATATTATTATAGCTGGTATGTTCTTAGGAGGTATTTCTACACATATCTATATCTTAATCTGAATAACATGATAATTTCAGAAAGTCCAAACTGCAGTCGAAACTCTGAAGTTATGAAGACACCAAATAGAAGCACTATTCGTTGGAAAATAATGGTAGGTGCAAACTTCGCGTTCTGAACCTTTGCGCGAATTTATCAAAACATTTTTTAATTATTCATTAAAATACTATTAACTGTTGCAGCATTACCTCGGCGTGTTTGTAGCGTGGCGCTCCGTGCCGCTTATGGTAATACTATACTATATATTTGGTGCCGCGGTATTCGGTCTGGCCCGCGGTAAAACTTCGCTAGACATCGCATTGTTCCCGCTAGAGTTCACCACTAGCGGCGGATTGGAACACGTAAGTGTACGGTGTATGGAAATGCTTTTAACTCGTCGAGTACCGGTTTTGTAGACACAATTATAGAACAATAGGTTGCGGTCACCGGTGACCGCTTGGTATTTGACAGTTTAATACAAACGCGTTAGAATTTAAATCTGTGTAATTAACTAATAACACTAGTTTACACGGTTTTCATACCCCAGCTGAAAGTTGTTATTTTATTTTGTGTTCAGGTAGAACTATCCAGAAAAAATAATAAAAAA